GCAACAACTAAGGTATCCTGGAATTTAAACTTACAAAAAAATAACATCGTTCCCAAAGAAGAGTCAGAAGCAGTGAAGAAAAGTGAAAAAGGAAAGGTTTGGTGTTTTTTTTTTCTTCTCTTCCTTTCCCTATACTGACAACTAAGAGACTTAAATAAGAAATCGGAAAAATCCACTTTGACATCAACAGGCAATTAAGCTGAAAATAAAACAAAATGTCAAAGGGATAATAAAGATTTATGGACACTAAAAATTTTTTTCATAAGCAGGAAGGGAGAGAAAAAGAATAAAAGGGCAGGATCTGGAAAGAGGGAGGAGACTGCCTGGAATTAAAAAGAATCTACAGTAAAACTTCAACAAGACTTCTAAAAGATACATTTTAATTAAACTTTGTAACTAAACAGTAGAACCCCAGGAAGAGAAAGTGAAAAAAAGAGCAAAAAGAAACAGCTTGCGTGTATTTGGATTACTTGGTGATCTTTGGATTTTTGGTTATTGCATTTGAATGACTAAAATTAATCGGGTGGTTGTTTAAAAATTTATACAATGATACCACTTCTGGATGAATTGAAAATGGAACTTTAAAAGTATAAAGAAGATGCACAAGAAGGGAGGGGTTCTTTTGGCTTTGTTTTTCAATTCTTCGAAATGGAGATTTGGAACTATGACAAACAACAAGAAACGTCTGCAAAACAAGAAGATGGACAAAGAAGAAGCCATCTTTAATGAACAAGTAATTCTATGTGGGGAAGAAAAAGGAAAGGGGGAAAAGAGGTTGGAGAATTTAAGACTTAAAAAAACAACCAAAGAAAAGAAAAATAATTCGAAAAATAAGTATACTACTGGAAAGCAACAGAAGAGGGGAATACAGAAGAGAGAAATAGAGGTAGAGAGACAAGGGGGTAAAAAGGGGAGAGAGAAGAAGAGAGGAAAGCAGGAAAGGAAAAGATGTTACAAAGGACCGGAACAAGGTATAGAGAAACAGGACCTATACAGATAATGGGTGAAAATTTAACTGAAAAAGGTACATAAGATTGTATTGTTATATTAGAAATAACTTTAGAAAATTGGAAACAATGTACGATTAAAATGAGGGATAAAATAGTGTAATTTAGTGAAATGTTTGTGAATAAAATAAGTGAAATAAAATAAATGAGAAAATTGAATTAGGAGGGGATGGGAACATTTTAATTAGTTAACGTTTTATAAAATATAAGTGAAGGGGGGGGAATTAATTGTGGAAAGCTTATAATTGTTCCCATAGAAGTATGATATTTAATTGAAAAGTAATGTTAAAAAGTTAAGATTTTAAGGAATATTAACATTAATGATAGAATTGAATTAGAGTGAAATGTGTTGTTTTAATTACATACATTTATAATGTTTTCTTTTTTTAAGAATATAGTGTGTATTTTAAGAATGTACCAAGCAGAATCCGAATATAAGTTATGTATTATATTGAATTTTACAACTTTAGGGTATATATTGAAGCCTAAATAAGGGTTAAATGGATAAACTTAAAAGATATTAAGGCGTCATACTCCAATCAGTAACTACAGGAGAAACTTTGTTTAATGAGGAAAGATAATAGATAATTGAAACAGGACAGACAAAAAATATAAATATAATGATTTGATTTGAGAAGAGATAATTAAAATAAAACTGAGAAAATTAAAAGAGGGGAGAAGCTATGCAGAAAACGTAAAATAGTAATAAGATATGGAAGAGAACATAAAAATGAGCATGAAATTGAATTTGTGTCTGTACGAAGAAATGCACTAGGGATTACGCTACTTTCAAAAAAGATGTTTTATTTGTATTTTTTTTGTGAAAACTCAAATAAAATTTACAAAAAAGAGAAAAAAGAAAAAACACAGTGGAGTTTATTTCAATAGCTCTAACAAACCTCCATGTTTGCTTAGATGCACTAGACATAGCCGTTCTCTGGTATCACAGAGATTATTTTTACTTTTTCATTTTTTCTTACTTTACTTTCTGTCTTGATTTGTGAGCATAATGAATGCTTTCAGACCTGTGATCCAGAAGGGTAACATTTAGCTGATGTTACAAGCCAATGGCTTCTGGCCAAAGAAATGGCCTATAAATGGTCCATACAATTAATAGGAATCATTAAATGAGAACCCTCTATTACATTTGTTCTTAATTTTTTGGGAGAAATAAATCCAGCATGGTAACAAACTATCTGGGTTTTACTTTTTCTTAAATATTTAAAATCTAACAAGTTCTTGAATCCAGAAATACTGAACTTCTATATCTTTTTTCATTTTCATTTCAATTTATTTCCTGGTAAATATTTTAATTGTTATCCAAATGGATCGTGGTAGAGAGTTACAGTAGGCAGAGGAGTGAAGAAATTGGCACGATTGGACTGGCAAGATTCTTATAAATAGGCAGGCAACAATAAAGAAGCAATCCTGATCAGCTTATAGAATTGTTATGGTTCCTTGCACCTGAGAGGGATAGATTTTTCTGCTTAAACTCTTCAATCCCATTTTTAAGTATATAACTTGACTGTCATGTAACTTACATATATGAAATAATGTTCAATTCTTTTGCTTGCCAGGTCTTAGCTGAACTACCACTTAGTTGGACTGGTGAGATACTGCGTGCTATTCTGACATTTATGTTATTGTGTATTCTTATGAGGGTTATTATGACATCCTTCATTGTCTAATGTTTATTTTGCCATGACTATTGATCAATAAAATATATTTGGTGTATTCTGGTAAAGAAGGAATCAAAGGACTTTTTCATTCTTAAGGAGAAACCTGAAGCTTCACATTTATGATTTAGATGTTCTTAAAAACTTCCAGTGATGGAGCACCTACAGCTTCTGAAAGGAAACTGTTCCACTTGTTAATTTTTCTAACAGTCAGGAATTTTCTTTTTAGTTCTAGGTTGGTGCTTTCCTTGATTAGTTTCCATCTATTGCTTCTTGTCCTGATTTCTGGTGCTTTGGATTATGAGAAACCTTTATTTCTCTAAGTCTCACTGTCATCTTCTGTTTGGAAGATGCTCCTACCAATAATTTTTACTGCTTTTCTATTCTCTCTTATTCATTAAAAAAACTAATTAATGCCTGATATATATATATACTCATTAGTGATTATTACCACCTGGAAGTGATCATTTACAAGCCTGAATTGGATTATACGGCTTCATAGACACTGTGACACTGTGTTTTTATGAACTTCTGCTAGAACATTGAGTGTTCTCTATGGCTCATAAATCATACAATCAATGTTGTTTTAGACATTTCAATATGTTGAACTCTGCATACCCAACACAGGATATCCATTAAATTCCCCCTTTTTTTACATCAGAAGAAAAGTAATAATTGGGCTGGATGGATGATGTGTACATTTTGTAGTTGTCTAGTCTTTTGACTATGATGCTCTCTAAAACTGTCAATTGTCCCATTGGCATATGCAGCAAAAAAACCCTGGGGGTGTTATTTTGCCAAGAGTATAACTTTACTGATAATTCCACATAGGAACAGAAGAAGTGAAACCAGTTCTGAAGTTTTCACGTGTGAAGCAATGTAGTTAAAATCCCCTTTTCTCCCCTGGGCCACCAACTGTTCATTGTCCACCAATCAACTGCAGTCAATTTGTTTTGGGAAACAATCTTTCAACCTTGAGCATCAGGATGTGGCCAGGCGACAGTGCGCTCTTGCATCCCACAATTCCTTCCTTTGCACCCACTATCTACCTACCCCACTTCCCAGTTTCTATTTTCTATTTGCGAGGCGGTGTGCGTAGTAAGTCAAGCATGACAAAAACTTGAATTGTCCACTTCCTGACTGTAGGCCTCTGTGGTCACTTCCTTTGCTTCCCTCTAAGTTACCTGTATGTCCTAAAAAAGCTAAAAAGGCTAATGTGAAAACCAAGTTGGAGGCTGTCATGATACAAACATGTCACGTATGTCAACAACAACTGTGAGCTTTGGAGGACTTCTTACACAATAGGTACAGGTAGCCTTTGACTTACAACCTGTCCTCACATATACAAAGGCACTAAAAAAGTGACCTACAATTGGTCCTTGCACATATAACTGTCACAAACATCCCATGGTTGCATGTTCAAAATTCGGCTACCGGGATGTATTTGTAATGATTGCAGCATCCTAGGATGAGATGATCACCATTTATGAATTTCCCAAGCAAAGTCAGTGGGGGGAGTTGGCTTTGCTTAGCGACCACCTAATTCACTTAACAACTGCAGTGATTTCTGTAACAACCATGGCAAAAAGGTTGTAAAATGGGGCAAGACTCACTTAACAATGGCTTTGCTTCAAAACAGAAATTCTGGTCCCAATTCTGGTTGTAGGTTGCAGATTACCTTTCTAGCAAGATATGGCGGTGCTGGATGTTGTGAGTTGAAGAAGAGGGGGTATTCAGCAGGTTCTGACCAGTTCTGGAGAACTGGTAGCGGAAATTTTGAGTAGTTCCGGGAACCAGTAGCGGAAATTTTGAGTAGTTCAGAGAACCAGTAGCAGAAATGTTGAGTAGTTCAGGGAACCAACAGCAGAAATTTTGAGTAGTGCAGTGAACCAGTAGCGGAAATTTTGTGTAGTTCAGGGAACCAGTCACCAAAATGTTGAGTAGTTCAGGGAACCAGTAGCAGAAATTTCGAGTAGTTCAGGGAACCAGTAGCGGGAATTTTGAGTAGTTCAGGAAACCAGTCGTGGAAATTTTGGGTAGTTCAGGGAACCAGTAGTGGAAATATTGAGTAGTTCAGAATACCACCTCTGACTGCCCCCCCCATCTGTTCTCTGCCTTCTGAGGTGATCAGCTGGATCTTCTTTTGTTGCCCTGCACAGGAGAACAGAGCTGGAAAGCAGGTTAGTGGGGTAGGGTGAGAATGGAGATTTTGCAGTATCCTTCCCCTGCCACGCCCACCAACCATGCCCACAGAACCAGTAGTAAAAATTTTTGAATCCCACCATTGAATTGAAGGGAGCATTATGAGATGATAGAGGTGTGGTATGGATGAGCTAGTTTGATGACTAGTTTGCCTGCAAAACATGTAGAGGCGATGTAATATTGGGTATCTTGGTGTTGTATTTGGTTTGGTTTGGTGCACTTAAGGAAAATGGCAGTTGTTTTTCTTGCTGATGGGAGCAGCTGAGTGGAAGAGCAAAGGAAGCCTAAAAATCCTAGAAAGCCATCTTGAATCTGTTCTGAATTAAATCTGCAAAGAAAGAACCATTATTTGTGCTCATTGCTGAAGCAGAATTTAGCTCAATCATGGGAGCAGTACAATACAGTATAAACGGTACATAGACGTACTTTTCTGCCAACTCATAGACAGTGGGAATGTATGTTAATGCTACATGTGGAAGTCAGCTGGATGGTTTTTTTATAGTGCTTTTATAGTTATTGCATATCCATTTTTCCAAAGATCTCCGTTAATTGGGCCAATTGGCCTTCATACTTTCCTTTGTCTGTTTTATACTTTTATCCTCACTCTTTGCAACTATTTCACAGTTCATGGTTATTCCATTTTCCGGGGCTCATTTCCACTGACTTATGGATGCCAGCCTTCCTTACTTCCTGGATTTAAACTATTTTGAATCATAATTAACATTTGCTGACTTGATTCCTGCATCTCCAGGAATCTGGAGATTCTATTTTGGGCAGAACCCACTGCTTATGTGAAAATGTGGACATCTATGCTTCTCTGAACATCAATCATGAGGACATATTCCCCCTCTGTCATGGCGAATGCATCCACATTTCGACGCCGAACCAACTGGAAATGAATGAATCAGAAGCCTGAATAAAATGCATCCAAATCACAGATTCCCTGCTGTTGGACATTGCAGTCCATGGAGCTTAATGTCAAAAAAAGCTCTTTGAGGTTGATTCTCATTATAGGCACTTCATTTAATGACACATCAAATCTCTAGCCAGAATGAAACATCCATGGTATAGTACTTTCCAGCTAAGAACTCACAGAGGTTATTGCAGTTTAAACTTGTATGTGTAATTTGAAATGGTGACTTTAAAGTCATTCATGATGATAGCTTGTGACTTGAAAAACATTTAGACTTGATTGGCTAAAGTTGGTCTAAAAAGCCTGCAGAAACCAATATCTTATGGGGGAAAAATCTGTATTAAAAAGGGGTAATGAGTGACTTTCTTGCTCGAAGGACCAATCTATATTTTGTTAATTCAGTTTGAAAATGCTCTTTGTGTTCTTTAATTTGCAGATTATTTTGAGTTACCTAAATTCAGGGCTCGATCTACCTGAAGTAGTGATAAATGGAAATGGAAGGAAAGGATTGGAAATCTATTTGTTCTTGTCTCTTTAACTGTAGAGAGTTTTGTTGTTGTTAATGCCATGTATTTCAAATTATAATTTGGGCAGGGTCAGTTAAAAAAAACCCATTGGTTATGAAAATGAAATCAGATAGCGGTGTCCATAGATGTGCTTGTGTGAAATGGCTCGATCTGATAAAAACAGCATCACTCTGACATAAGTCCTACTCATTTATAGCAGGCATTGTGATGTTGTAGCAGTCGAAAGCATAAACAAAGTGATAAATCTGTGCCTGTGTGCCTCCATACAGCCTTGTAAGACCAATGGGACAGAGATGATGTCTATACTTTCTACATACATAAAGTCTATTTCTGTCTCTGTCTCTGTCTCTTTCTCTCTCGCTCTCTTTCTCTCTCATCTCCCTCTTTTCCCTCCTCTCCTTCTCCCTCTATCTATATCTCTATGAACACAGTGGTTAAGAGTGCAGTACTGCAGGCTACTTCTGCTGACTGCCATCTGCCTGCAATTTGCCAGTTCAAATCTCACTAGGGTCAAAGTTCACTCAGCCTTCCATCCTTCCGAGGTCAGTAAAAATGAGGACCAAGACCGTTGTGGGAAATATGCTGACTCTGTAAACCGCTTAGAGAGGACTGTAAAGCAGTGTATAAGTGCTATTGCTATCTAAACCTACAATAATATTTATATATTGCGGTCCCCAACCTCCTGTTCCTGGCCCAATACTGGAAACCGGGCTGTGAAAGCGGTATGCAATCATGCGATCACACGAAACTTCATTTGTGAAAGCAGTGGAGACTTGGTCAAAACCTCTCCTGCTGCCACTGCTGGTCCACAGAACCAGAAAGTTTGGGAACCTCTGTGCTATAGGATATCTTTGTTGCAACTTCTTTTATATTAAACACGGCTATTAGGCTATTATTATAATCTCTTGTAATTGGAAACAGTAATATTTCTCCATCAGTTTGGCTCAGTTATTTTCAATGCTGTTTATTGTTATGACGGGTAGATAACAGAAGTTCCAACTGATTGGGAATTGGTAATTCCCTCCCAATATGGGAGGGAATTAAAACTTGTTTGTAGGGTGAAACACTCAGTGTGTATGCGTCTGTGTGTCTTTGTATGTCTGTGCATGGTTTGTCTTCATGAAAGTGAACAGAAGTAATTTTTCTACAAAGTGAAGTTCTAAGTTTCTGACTCTCCTAACTTTCTCTTTGCTGACATGGAACTTTATTCCTGGATTTCTGAATGACATGGAAAGAAAAATCTAGCATTAATTTTGTTCAGCTATGTTACACATGGGAGGTTTGGACCATGAAATAATTGAATTGTTCCTGCCTACTATTATTTGCTGCATTTTAATATGGAAAGAGTTGAGACATTCATGAGTAGTAGGTGCTACGACGTAAGATTCCAGGGGTGGTTAAGTTATGTACGCTTTTTTAAGCGATGTTATAGAACTGAATGTCTGCCTTTGCAGTAAAGATGGTACAAATGTAGGGTACGACTGACTCAGCCATGGAAATACATTGTTCGAGAAACAAACACAGAGACTTCCCCAAATCTCAAATTTAGGATCTCCAGGTTTCAACTCAGAGGCACACCTCTGCCTTCTAAAGCCGAAGAGACAAAAGGGAAGTCTTTGACCAGATTCTCCTTGTCTGGTTCCATCTTTTCCTCCTTCTTTGGCAACTTTCTAACAGTGCAATAGAAGAAGCTGTAAGTTATACAACCTGATCACACGTTCTGAATTAAAGGCAGAAACTCTCTGTTGCAACCCTGGAGGTTAAGCAAAAAAAGGAAGCAGGCTTACTGTTCTGGTAATTAATTCTTAATTCTTAATAAACATGAATGCGAGCAGAACTATGGTCTAGAGGTGGAGCCTTCGCCTCAAAATCAGGAGGCTGTGAGTTCAATCCTAGGTAACAGCAGATATTTCTCTCTCTGAGGCAATGAGTAATTGTTTGCTCTGAACTCTACATAGGCATCAGGCAGAGTATCTGGCCAGTAAATGCTCAGCTCCATTCAGTTGCTCTGACTCCACCCTGATGCAAGAGATTACAGGGTTAAAAGAAAAAAAATGAATGCATTTTTATTTATAACTAATCAATATTATTAATGTATTCAACTTACTCAGATCTTACCTTTACACTCAGTTTAAGGATTAAGATATTTTATTTATTTATTTTATTTATTTGATTTGTCAATCACTTACAAGATAATAGATATAAGTATAAACATGAGTACGAATACAGGAAATAAGTACAAATAAATGAGGACAATAGGACAAGGATGGTATGCACGATGGTGCACTTATGCACGCCTCTTATTTGTCACTTATTATTTTAAAAAAGGCAAAGATACTGAAAAATCCTATTTTGCATTCAGGATTTTCTTCTTGGGCAACTATTCTGGAAAACTACATTTGTGTGCTGTTTGAACATTTAAACCACATTTGTAATATTAAGCATATATTTAAAAAAGCAAGTTATGCTTTATTATAGTAGGAAATTTGAGCTTGGTGAAATTGCAACATATATTGATTAAAATGTTAATTAAAATTGTTCACTTCATGCTTCTTGTACCTTATTGATCAGTGAAGCTATAATGAGAACTACAGAAATGGAATTCATAGTCTGAAATCATTTGCAAAACAGGCATTTTGCATTAAGTATAGCTAAAGCTCAATGAAAATATGTTACATAAATGCAATATTTATGAAATAATTGATTGAGATGAAGCAAGAGTTCCGCAGAGACCTAACTGATGCCGAATTAAGAATATGACATCTTAGGAGAAAAAAAAAACCCTGTTTATTTGCTTTTCTTTATTCATGTATTTTGCAGAATAAGAACATGTTTTTCTTTTGGAATGTGACAGTCAGATTATCAAATTTTTGCCAAGATCAACGCAAATGCCAAATACATTAATTATGGATCTAGTTGTTTCAGAAATTGTCTCTTTTTATTTAAACTGAGTTTTTTTTCTCCTTCCAGAACATTTTTCTGAGTGCTGCAAATGAGGAAGAAATATTTTCACACCTTGGCTTGGATTATCTTGAACCCTGGGAAAGAAATGCCTAAAGAAAGTTTAATAAGTTTTTATCATTTCACTGCTTTAAAGCAAAGTTTTACTTACCTGCAAAGCGTACCTTCATTATTATTTAGAAAGAAAGATCTTAAATACACTGTGGATATTTGTTGTTGTAGATGTGGAGTTCCTTAGAATAGTTGGCAATTGATTTTGAAACATTTCCTTTGTTCTAATTTCCTGCTCCTGAGACAACCATACAATCAACTGGAAAAGACTGGTAGGAAGTCATAATGAGATTGCTAAATCATGCAGATAACATATTTTAAAATGAATGGCTGTGGGGTGACTTTCAACCTGGTGTCCTCCAGATATACTTCCAGATACAGCTTTTAGAATTCCTGCCCTCTAAGGCATATCTGGAAGGCCCAAATAATGGAACGCTATCCTACTGCATTTTCAGCTTATTAATGTTTAATGTTTCCTTGTATTTAGTTTTAATAACTACTTGAACAAGAAATAAATAGCTAACTATGCAAAAATAATTAATACCCAGAAATACTCTTAGTTTTAACTGTTCCAAATATCTTTATGCAAATCAAACCATATACCAAAGAGAACTCGGGGTTTGTTAACATGATATACTATAAATGTTAGTAAAGAAATTATGCAACCTTTACTAATTTGAAAGTTATACACTAACTTTTCTATTAATGCAGTGGCCAAATCTCCCCCCGCCCCCGCACTTCCCTTTAAGCAATTCTTATATTACGGAATGGATATTTGAACTTATTTATAGAAAAGAATTCTTTATTGGCCAAGTGTGATTGGACACACAAGGAATTTTGTCTTCGGTGCGTAAGCTCTCAGTGCACATAAAAAAAAAATATGTTTATCAAGAATCATAAGATACAACACTTAGTGATAGTCATAAGATACTCAATAAGCAATCAAATCATACTAAGAAACTAAATAAAACAATATAATTGTAAATATTTCAGAAAGGGACATTTTGTTATAGTGAAATATGATAAATACAGGTGATTTTATTCAGAGGTAAACCTGGTCAATACTAAATTATAAATCTGACTGACCACATTGATTAGCTCAGACATGCAACAAATTGATTGATTTCTATTCCTAGTATAGTATTGTTCTTTCCCATCACTTACTTATGGATCTGTCACATCATGGAGAGTCAATCAAGGTGGCATCTACAACCACATTATCAAACCTGAAACCATTCAAAACTCATGTTGATGTCACATGCATTGGCAAAGGGACATGTTGACCACATGGCTATCATTTTGATGTCTTTAACATAGTTGTCGTCAATTGCTTTCACTCTTCTCCACCGCTCCTCCTTCATGGACATTCATGCCCAAGGTAGGAACATAATTTGGCAGAATACAAATCAAAATGTAGTGGATAAAAATTCAAGATGATACAATTGAAGATCTAGCATTTCATGTATAGATGCAAAAAAAGATTGAGGATTTTGATTTTGATGTGACTACTCTCAATTTTTTAAGTAGTTCCTTTGCTCAATCTTCCATATAAGCCAACCAAGGAACCTATGGCTGGCTGGGGAATTCTGGGAATTGAAGTCCATGTGTCTTAAAGTTGCCAAAGTTGGAAAACCCTAATATACACCAACAGAAGATCATAATAACTTATGATCTGAATCATAATGCTAAAAGTTTTAGAATCTAACTTTGAATGCAAGTCAGATTTTAAAATTAGGGATAAGTCCATGACAGATCATCAACAACAAGAAACTCACAGTTTAGTGAGATATATGTTGACAGCCTTCAGGGTAAACTTAGCACAACATTGGAAAAGGGAAGTGTTACCATTGGGAGTTTAAACTTGGAAACTAAGCAGCAGTGGCAAAATTAACAGCATATATTTATAATAGAAGTTTGGCCAAATTTAAGCAAGAATGGTGTCCATGTATATTATACGAGCATGGCAAACTGAAACATTTAGAGCATGGTTTTTAAGGGGAAAAAGAATTGGCTAAAAAAGAAATGGAATTTAGAAATTCAAAAATTGGAAATATATGAACCGTTTGAATATTTTTAAATATTGAATATCAGGAGTACAACAAAGAGCAAGTTAGAAATGGTTCACTCAATAGTACTTTTACTAGTTTTTTCTTCTTCCTCTTTTTTTTTAAGAGATTTATCTTTAAATAATAAAATACTGGACACATTGGTATTCAATGTCTATTTAAAAACACTTTTAAATTCTTTTCATCTTTGTTAAAATGAATTTAATATATTCAGCTTTTTATAGTTAATCCTTCATCTATGATATACTGAGTACTAACTGTACAACTTTTCGAGTTCTCTGTCCCCCTACTGCTATTATATATTTGTATTAGATTTTTTTCTTTTATAGGATTATAGCTCTGAGAAGTAAAGATTATGTTTAACCTGATGCCAAAGATTCTTGTTTGTGTTTATTCTGTTGGATCAGGCCCTAAAGGATTAGCATAAAATAGTAAGTGGTTTTTTTAAAGAAGACAAAGAGTTGATATTTGATTCCGATATCGGGATTTAGATAAGCTTAGTTTAAACATAATGTCTACATCTGTTTTTTAAGCTATTATTTTTGATGATTTCAGCTCTGAAGAAATGGATTTTAATTTTTTTTACAGAATTAAAAATATGGAATTAACTCTAAGGACTTTTTTGACATTGTGTTCAATTTAAGAATCTGTTATTTGATTTATCTGTCCTATATGAAATCATTCCATTTGGTCAGTGGTGGACTGCTACTGGTTTGGACCAGCTCACTCATACTGGTAGTTCCACCCACCGGCTGGACCAGTCCCCCCCCTCTGGTGCTATCTCATCCTTTATATCTAGCTTGTTCACCTCACCCATGGAGCCAGCTGATTTTTGCGCCTCACCCGCTCTACTCACTGTGCCTGCTGTGCGCAGGAAATCCCTGTGTTTTTTCAGCCATGCGCAAGCACGGATGGCATGTGTGCGTGCTCACGTTTTTGATTCTGCACTAGGCGAATTGGTTGTTACAGTATGTGCAACCCACCTCTGCTTTTGATGTATCAT